CTGGGCGACAGAGTGAGACTCCAACTCAAAAAATAAATAAATAAATAAATAAATAAAACAATAACCAAGGACCCAAAACAAAACAAAAACCCTACAACATTTTATTTCAAAGTTCTTTAGCACAGAGATCATGATGTCATAGATGCATCTCCAAGAAAGAAAATTCTATGTGAACAAAGGGATTTCAGTGTCTTATGGTTGCCAGACCATGATGTGGGAATGAGATACGAAACAGGAGATCCTTGATACAGCAGCACGCGTTTTCAAGTTTCTATCTTAATTTTCACAGGTTCTTGCTTCAGTCAGATGATAGGAGATGTGATCTCTGAGAATGGCAAAAGTAAAAATGAATGTGGCACCCCTTTTTTCAGATGTAATTGAAACCTTTACCCTACCACATGGGAAAGTTAAAACACCACTTGGGTTTTAACTGAGCATAAGAGATGCATACACAGTGAAGGGGAAGCCTCAGTTTCCCCTTGGAGGTTTTCCTGTTTCCAAACTAATGTTTCTGGTGTGTAATTGCTAGTGTTTCTGAAGGTTTTCCCCACTTGTTTTAGCCTTGCGACGTATTTTTTTCTTAAGCACAACTTGCCTTTCTTCGATGGTACATGACCTGGTTCAGTGTTTGGTTCTGAATTTATAAATGGATGCATTTAGGCATCTTAACATAATCTGACAAGGCCTCAGCAGGGAGCCGTAAACTTTGGTAACATTTTGATATATTTTAATGCGCCTGACTTAGATCTTACTGAAATAAAGCACTTTTCAAAGAGAAATCCCTTCATGGATGGGTCTGTGTGTGTCCACTGTGTGGGAGCTCTGTAGTGGGAGGGTGCTTGTAAGGTTGGGGACAGGAATGTGAAGATGCACCCAGGAGATACGATAATTTCCACTCCAGAGTTTATGGTTTGAATGTGTTTGATCCTGGCTGTGATGTTCCAAACAGGAAGTGAAAGGAAAACATTCCCTTGGGGTTTCCTGTTGGGACCCCCTGGGGAGCCAGGAGTTGTGGTGGAAAGAGCTGGAGACAGTTAGATTCAGTGATAATGGATTTCCACCTTGACTCTACCCTTAGCACTTTAGGACCCTGGGACCAACTCAGTGAAACTTTTTCTAGAACTTAGTGACTTGTAAAATGGCCAAGCCACCTTACAGAGGTTTGGGGATCTGGGTTTGCTTCTGTTGGAGTTCAGTGGTCTCCAACCGTAAGACTTTCAGACTAGGGCCCAAGTTCTTCCCTGTGGTGCTGGGAAGACATGATGGCTAATTGTATATGTCAACTCATCTAGATTAACATTGAAATCAGTAGACTTTAAACAGATTACCCTCCATAATGTGGGTGGGCCTCATCCAATCAGTTGAAGACCTTAAGAGAAAAGACAGGTCCCCTGAGGAAGAAGGAATTCTACCTCCAGTCTGCCTTTGGACTTGAACTGCAATATTAATCATGTGAGCCGATTCCTTAAAATGATTTCTCTTTTTCCCTCTCTCCTCTCTCCCCTCTCTATCTCCTCCTCCTCCCAACCCCCCACCCCCCTGCTGTTTCTCTAGAAAACTTTGATGTAATACAGAGGGGTAATGTGCTTGGTCATAATGTTCAGCATGTGATTGGCAGTGGTCTTCCTAGGAAACCTGACCATGGAGTATAAATAGTGATCATCATAATTTAGCCTTTGGCATAAAGTGACAACCAAGGCAAGATTTTTAACAATATGTCCCCAAACAATGCTTATATATATAAAGAAGATTGAGCAACAGAACGAGACCCCATCTTGACAAAAAAAATTAGCCATGCACGATAGTGCACATCTGTACTTCTAGCTACTTGGTAGGC